CCCCTGCCTCTAAAAGCGCTGTGGCCGCTGGAGGGCCTGTTGTGGGCAGCGCGTTTCGCCGCCCGAGTGCTCCGACTGCACAGGCTCTGCTGCCCTGCACACGGATGTGTTGAGCCATCGTGCCCTGCCTCTCCGAAAGCCAGCTCTGCCCCTCAGAGCTCTCCTTTCCCTGGCCAGCTTGCAGATGCCCCGCACTGAAGTACTGAAGAGCTTTCCACAACCACTGTGATGAAAATGCCTGGGTGCTACGGGAGCTCTTCCCGCCCCACCGGATTCTTTGTGGAACCTTACAAAATATTCAGTGGTTTTAATGTATTCATGAAGGAGGTGCAGGTTAATCTCACGGTGCTTACCGAGGCCTGACTCCCCTTTCTCTCCAATGAGTCAGAGCCCGGGATCAGCCCGTGGAAGCCTGTCGAGTGCGTGCAGCGGGTGGAAGGAGGCTCTGACCCGGCACCAGCAGCAGCCTGCAGCATCCACCCCGGCCCAGCAGCCAGCCGACCGGCTGACCCGAACAGGCACTGCCCTGGTCCCAAGGCACGGAGGGAGGCACACGCTTGAGCTGCTCGCTGCACTGCCGCAGCACCCAGGGTGCCCAGGGCAGCCCTTGGGCTGCTCTCGCTGCCTCTGACCACCCCAACCACCCCAGCAGCGCCTGCCCACGTCCAGACCAGGCGATAAGGCAGGCTCCAGCCCCTCTCAGTGTCCGTGCACAGAACGGGTCAGTGAGGGGAACACAATGGCACAGCCAAGGGGCCGGAGCACCCTTGTCCCCAGGCGCTGACTTCCGCCTCATCCCTCCTTCAGGCTTTTCTATGCAGCCATCGGTGCTCGATGCACGCAGGCGAACAGTGGCATCTAAAGCTAGCAAAGCACTGCTTGTTAACTGTGCTCACGAACGGCGTCGAGCCTTCGCAGCAACACTGATAAACTGAGCTAATGCTTGATGGCACAGCCCGTCTCCAGCTTATCCCGATGGTAAAAACCAGAATACATTGATGGGGAGCAATGCAAACATGGGCAGAGACAAGCTGATCCCGTTCCAGATCTCAATAGTCACATTTAGCAAAGGTTTTTTTTTTTTCAATTTATTTTGTTTGGTTTTCTTCTGTTAAAAATTTTCTTTATTGTTTTTCTCAGCCACTTTGCCACTTTATATTTTGTATTTTGTGTTCTGAGCTCCTCACTGACACGTTCATTGAAAAGTTTCAGACAAATTCTGCTTCAGAGCTGTTAAGACGTCTGCAATAGCTGGGCTGAAATCAATGCAGTTACTCTGCACACACGTCTCCAGAATACGGCCCTTTATTTCACAATATCTACCTATACAGAAGGAAACATCGGGTATTCCTTGGTACCACACATTAAATTAATCAGATCTTATCACAACAGATGGACTCAAAGTATCAGAGACCCTGGGCCAATTAGCAGATTAAAGGTTTCCGTATCAAATACATCTGTGCTATACCGATGCCATTTCTAAACAGAGAAAATGGGAAATCATTCAAAATATCTTTACTTCTCTTAGTGATGACCTAGGGGCCTAAGTCCCATCTTCCAATTATTTTAAATTTTCTCTTTTTTGCAACATAGGCCATGATCCAGTGGAGCACTTAGGAACATGCTTTATTTTAACATTCTGAATCACAGCTGTGAAATTGTACCTCGGGGCGTGTAAGTGCCCTTTTGTATCAAGACCAGAGTCTTTAAGTCCCAAATAATACACAGTTTCCAGCATCAGAAGTGAGTTGGTGAATCCAGTTAATAAGGAGGAATTTTATCTTTCAAAGTGTTTTGTGATATTCCATGCGAAGTACTGCAGTGACGATGACTTGACCACTTATTTTGCAGCTGTGCTCAGTAAACCACCACGCCCAAGGGACAGATCCCTGCTGCACCGTACCAGAAACCTCCAAATTTCCACCAGTGAGATTCAATGCAAAAAACCGCATCCTTCCCTTCCTGTGAAACCTGACGAGGTCTGCACCAAGATACATAAAGTTTTATGAACTCTCTGACTTTGGGCAGTGACCAACTCTAGTGCTGATGACAGAAAAATAGAGATTTGATGTCCCTACCGTGAAGAAAGTCTCTTCTTGCCTTACAGGTAGCGTGGTGGCACAGTAGACAACTTCCCAAAGACCACCTTGTGCCTCCCCCACCTCTCAGCTGAGGCCACTGACACATTTGCAACAGAAAATACCATCGGCGTTCCCGTCTGCTAGGTAGCTGCTGTGCTATTCTGACGGGTGGCTGCGCTTCAGCAGAGCATAAAAGCATCTCTTCTTCCTCGGTGCAACATGCAAGGCTTCACGTAAGATGCTTTGAGATCCTCAGCTGGCAGGTGGCAGGAACGATTAGTCCGATTATCAGCTGTGGAGCCCCGACCGGCCCACAACGACCCGCGCGCTCCCCCCATCAAACGGCAGCGAGTGTCACCAGGCACGAGACAGATGGGTGCTGCAGGATCCCTCAGGAGGAAGGCTGGGGTGACTGGAGTAATCATCAAATGAAAGACCACGACAACCATAAGTGGACATACATATATAATATGTACTGTGGCCATAGACGCATTTGCGCCATGAAGGAACATCAATTTTAGACCACAGAAAATGATCAAATCCCAGAATTTTTTAGTGCCCGGAGTCTGTCTACCTTGCTGGTAAAAAGAGAAGGAAACATTCAAATCTGGGTTGAATGAAGTGGTGCAGTTGTCAGATGTGCTATTATGTCTTCACTCTATTTCAGACAAGAAATGCAGAAGTATTCTTATATTTTGCACTATATGCTGCGGACAGAAAATTCTCCCAGAAGCGTTTTCTTGGTTTTGTACCCTTTCCCTCACTCTCTTCAGCTTCTCCAGTAGAGCCACCAGCATCAAAACACAGAGCTGAAGTACAGGCATGAATTTAGCAAGCAGAAAATCTCAAGCCCCCACAGGGATGGCACAATTCAGGCTTTCAGAGCAGATCGAGATAAGGCAGTGTAAGGAAAGCCCTGAACCTACCTAAATGCTCTCCATGTGGTTTTCAGTCCGTGGTCTGTAGATTTTTACAAGTCTGTGGATTTTTTTACTAGTCTGCAGAGTACTGCTAAGATATCGCCAAAAAGTACCTAAGAAAGTTAAGCCCGTTACCACTAAGCTTAAATTCACTACGGAGGAGGCTGAACGTCTGTAAGAAAACTACTGGGGGGTCCGCAAGTTGTTAGAAGTCGAAAACGATTGCTCCGGTTACAAAACCGGACTGCCAGTCGGTCTGCGCCGCGACTCAGTTCAGAATATTTACTCCCAAAATTCAAAGTATGTAGTGGTGTAAGGAAAGGAACCAACACGGGAGGGTGCACACCAGCAAAAATCAGCTGGCCCGTATGGAGTATGGAAGGGCTCCCTGATACTCCAGCTACAGGCACCCACAAACACTACATTAGGCTGTATTAATTATTGGCTTACTCAAGAGGCAAAGAATGAACCTGGGAAAGACAGGCAGATGAAGATGACAGTATCATCACCAGCTGGTTTTTCCTTTGCTAATGTTCCTGCTCACTAAAATTAAGATGCCGGCTAGAATTGGGCTTTTGAAAAGACTGAAATTATTAGCAAGACTCTGACAAAAGAAAAGTGTGCTCCCTGCATGCCTGTAATAAGGACTGGGCTGCTTGCAATTCAAATAATTTAAAAATAAAAGAAAAAAAAATCAGAGCACTGTAAGACGGTGCTGCTAACCCCTCTGGTGTCGTCCCGGGTGGGGAATGCAGAAGGTCTACTCAGCAGTGTGCACGCAGGGCTCCCGCCCTGGGGATGGAGAAGGGGCCGTTTCAGAGCATGCATGTCACTCGGGTTGATTCGTTCAAGCCTTGTTCAGTGAGAACATCATCGGGGAGGTCCTACAATATTGTGGCTCCAGCAGCATCCACACTCCTGGGGTCCTTCAGGCCAATGATGAAACTGTTGGTTCTCCTGGCCCCGTGGACAAGGGAGACCACTTTGACTCTATCCACTTGATGGCCCCTGGCTACAAGACACTCAATATCTTCTTCAGAAAACTCACCTGTAGGGATTTGAAAAGAGGAGTTTGTAGCTGAAACCACTGTTGCCTTTGATGCAAAGCTCTGTCCTAGCCCTGATGGGACCTCCAGTGTGAAGGAAGCTGCCCGCAGCCACTTCAGGTGTCCCAGCTAGGGCGAGCCAAGCTGCCGAGGAGGACCAGTGCTCACTGCTCCGAGGAGCCACCTCCCAGCTCTTGTCAGCAAAGGCCTTTCAGAGCTGGGCAGTGCCCTGCATGGTGGGGGAAATGAGAGGATCCAGAAGGCCATTTAAAGATGTGGAAGATCCTCCTCTTTGGAAAAAGGGGAAAATATGTTGTTGGCACCTATTGTAGTTATTCTGCTTACAGAACACAAGGCAGTCCTCGCTCTTAAGAGCTTAATCACAAATAATAGTATTAACAGTTATCAATCAAAATAAGATGCAAGGCCATGATCAAAACAAACGATAGTAAAACAAGTTGCCAAATGACAAACTTTGTGATAAGCCTTCCAACTTCCCCTTCACGTATTTCTTAACCTTCCAGCCATCTACCTTAGGTTGCTTGCTTTTCTGCTTTTATTTTGTTTATTTGATGTTTTGTAATTTCTGCATGAACAGAAGTGCCTGAGGAGACAAAGCTGGGGATGCAGCTGGATAAACCGAACAGGCACACAAAACCCCCACAGTTATTTAAGCTATACACATTGCAGAAGTGTCTTAACACTGATCTTATTGATGCCAAATGTCCAAACCCACCAATTAGGATCTTTTGAAGTTTTGGATTTGTTTCAATCACATTCTATTTTCCAAGTCTGCAGGTCGCACTCGACAGACATTTTTAGATTTTCCGCTGGGAAGGCCTAGAAACTTTGGCTATTTTGTGTGAAATGAGAACTAAATTTCACTTACGGTTCACTCTGGTAAGGTATGGGGCTGTGTGAAAAACATCAAATAGACCAAGACTTGTAATGACAAGGACACGAGCTGGCAGCACATTCTCCAGAGTGTCAGCACTGATGCTGCATTTCCAGCACGCCAAGCTACAAGCCCTGTCATAAGCCTTGTCTTCTCCCCAGCTGGTGGAGTTACAGGACCCGGACTGGGAAGTGGAAGCATATCATTTATGGCAGTGGTAATAAAGCCTAGGAAGATCTGCTAGCTTTCAGGACCTGTCTGGGTGAAGCTGTGGTTGCAATCTTGTTTCTTTGGATAGCCTCAATGGCACCAGATCGCCAACAGGTTTTAACGACAGGATAAGGCTGCTACCAGGAGGTGAGCGGGGACAGAGGGAGGGCTGGGGAGCAGCACCTGGAGCAGCTTGGACAGGCGGTGTTGGAGGGGCTGCAGCGCATCCCCAAGACAAGAGGGAGAGGGCACGGTGCAGCAAGGGCTCCAAGCTCTGAAGAAGCTAGGCTGCTGCTTTTTATCTTCCCCAAAGCCCTCCGGACCCACTGGGGACCCTAGAACATGGTGAGCTGTGCGCTGGGCTGTCGCACTTCCACAGCAATGTGCTAAGAAAATCCTGCTCCTTTTCTAAACGTGCTCGATCTGTAGGCTGCACCACACCCAGTGTCCATACTCACTGTCAACCTGCAAGGTGTTGGACTGAAGCTGTGGGTGAAGTCGACCAAGTGACAAACTTTCACTCAGATTCTTGTTAAATGTTAAAACATTTACCAAAACCTGCAAGAGAATAAAAGATCTTCAATAATAAAAAAAAGTAAAGAGAATAGGAGCCAGCTTCCCAAGCATCCCTCTAATTGGTGGCTCCAACATCTGCAGATGCAGCAGGCAAAGAAGATTTTGAGCCGTTCACCAAACTGCATGAACTAATGCAGGGTTTTGCACACAGAGACCCTGGAAATACGGCCTGTATATTGCTGGTGGAAAAGCAGGACCTTTTCAGGCTTACATGGGCATTTTGTCACACAGTTCCAGCTAAATTAGGAGAGTTGTGTGTCTGGAACATGATGTCATCTCTAAATATATGCTTGTTACGGCCAAAAGCTCAGCACGTGACTTCTCCAAACAAAGCATTAGGAAGCCATGGCTGGCTTCAGTTTTACTCTGAATAATGCCTTCCAAAGGTAAGGAAAATGGGAGCCAATTTCAGCTGTGCCTTTCTTTTTAGCAATCCATTTCTGTTGTGCATGCAGTCAAGCTATTGGCAAGTACTTCACCTCATTACAAATCACAGGTTAGGAGGAGCTGCCCAATTTACAGCAAGAGCTGAGCAGGGAGGATTTCAGTCGGGAATGCACTGAACGGAGCTTTTCATAGGGAAAAGGGCTACAGGGCTGCTGGTCTCCCGCAATTCTCTGAATACAAAATGCTCATATTTTTTCCCCAATGATCCTTAAGACTAGCTTTGAACAGGTATTAAAATGACACAAAACCATTACAGATTTTGCCAAGATGCTTTTCCTCTGCAATTATAAGCGGTGTCACCAGGAAAGGTGCAAAAGCAGTAAACCAGTAGGTCTTAGAGATCTGTAAAACTGAACGTGTGGAAGCGGTGATGTCAAAGACTGAACTGGTAATCCTGTGCCCACCGGTTTCTACACAGCCTGGGATGTTAGGGGGGGCAAGACTGCTCTGCAGCAGGGGACCCTACTCAGTGCTGAGCCCAACAGCTGCTCTGAGAGGGTGGTTGCCCGGACATGGCACCCACCTGAACGATGCCGCTCAAGGCTCTGTCCCCGTTGTTAGCTCCCAGACATAGGTACGTCCCGCACAGCCCCTCGGACGGTCTCACGATGGTGGGCAACAGGAAAGACAGCGGCCGTTTCCGAGGCTGAATGAGGTTTTGCTGCAGTTGAAGAAAACACACACGGAAGAATTTCAACAAGCCAGCTAAAGCTTTGCTGGTGCTCAGGCTGCACAGGTTAACTTCTTACTCTTTATGCTTCAGCCAGTAATTGCACTTGTGCAGTTTTACAAGGCTGACATCCTCACTGCTGTGATAATGCTCTCTGGTATTAGCAGGATCCATCCCGTCTCACGCTGTGGCTCTTTTACAGGAGGTATACAGAGCCTTTACCCACTTCTGAAGCACCAACCCAGCAAAGTGGGATGCTTTTACAATACACGGCAAGAAGAAACAACAAGGCAGCACTGGAAGCCACCAGTACTCATCTGTAATTATTTCTTTCCAAGACCTGAAGTTTTTTTTTTCCACTGTTACTTTAAACCTGCAGACCAGCAATTCATAAAGTGAGCCCTTAATTCAAGTCCACAGAAAAGGATGGTTCCTTTAAAGTGCATCTGGACTGCAGGGAAAACAGGTAGCCGAGACGTTCAGCCTCGTTGGATAAAACCGCATTACACTGATAACTGATATACATGAAGCCTTCTGTTTACTGTGTTGCAGGGACTCATATAATGAAAAAATAGCAGCTTTCTACAGACTGCTGTCTCTCGGTTATTAATAAGGCATAAAATAGCCTCCCTGTTGTGGAGATGAGAATAAAATTGGGAAAAAATGGTACAGACAGCTCAAATAAAGAATTTGTCATGTCATTCATTACCGGCCTGGGAATGGAGTGGTTTGTTGTTTTATTTTGCCAGGAGAAGTCCAACATCTGGCTGTTCAGGAGGACTCCAGAGGGTGTTATTATTCCACTGCCAAAGGGACGATTCAAAGAACTGAAAAGAAACACGAAGAAATCCCATAAAAACCCTCCCAGCGATTTTTGTACACCTCGAGGCTTTCAGGGCTCCAATTTTCTGTCCCATCTTGGCTTGACAGAGACTCTTTGGTAGTTCTTTAGGGCCGGTTAGGTGTAAGGAGTGGAAGTCTCCCTGCACTTAGGAGCAGGAACCATGTGGGTGACAGCAGCTCTGTCCCTCCCTGTGTTTAAGGATTCCCCTCTAGGCGATGGATCTGTCTCCATAAGCCCCATCAGTCCTCAAATCTGGCCATCAGCTCTGGGAGCAGATTCAGGCCATTTCAGACATGTGGCACTGTGAGAAGGCTGCAGGATTGCACGGGGCAGAGCAGCACCAGCTCACACACCTCCACCTCATCCTCCCCATTCCTCCTGTTGCAGCACTAATGGACACAGAGTAGCCCAACTGCACCAGGTCTGGTCCCATCCTGTCCTGCTG